TGCGCGACCACTGTGAGACCCGAGGGCAATGCGCCCGACGCGGCTCCAGAGACCCTGACCCGCGAGGGGCTCGCGGGGCTTTCAAAGCCCACGGAAAAACTCTCCGATTTTTCCTCCGAACCCTTTCGGCACTTCTAGCCGAGCCTAAGAAGACACAGGGTGAGGCTAGAGGCCGGAGGTGGCAGACAACAGGGAGTGGCGGACACACTCCTGAGCCACAGTAGGAGGGGGAGCTGGTCCCTCTCTCCCATAAGCATTGCCCGCAGGGACCGGCCCTACACGGAGCTCTGCAAAGTGGACCGAGGGCGCCGTCGCTTTGTGCTCCTTAGCTCCAGAGGCGGAGCCCGAGCCTGCAGAAGGCTGCCCAGAAGCTTTGCACAGCCAGAGGCCTGATACTCATCGGAAAAGCTCCAGGTGGTCCCAGCGTTCTCGCGCTTACTAACTGGGACCAAGCACCTATGCCGGAGCCAGCGCTAGGCACTCTTTACCCTTTGCCTGGCCGCCGTAACAGACGCACGGGCTACGTAGCATGGCGGGGTTGAGGCAAACCCGCAGCCTTGCAAAGTGTCAAAAGGGAGCAAAACCGGCATTCTTGCCCTTACTAGCCAGAATTCGCCCCCCCCTCCCAGCCCAGAAGAGCTAGTAGTGACGGGTTTTGGCTTACCCTAAACCAGACGAAGAGGCTTTTGGCAGCAGCCTTCTTCGGGTCCCGATATGGACCACATTTTTGGGTTTCGGCTTACCCTAAACCATACAGTTGCGACTGCACTGCAGTCTGGGGTTTAAGCTGACCCTCAACCATGTGTGTGAAGCCCACGGAAAACCTCTCCGATTTTTTGCCTCCGAACCCTTTCAACACTTCTAGCCGAGCCTAAGAGGACACAGGGTGAGGCTAGAGGCCGGAGGTGGCAGTCAACAGGGAGTGGCGGACACTCTCCTGAGCCACAGTTGGAGGGGGAGCTAGTCCCTCTCTCCCGTAAGCATTGCCCGCAGGGACCGGCCCTTCACGGAGCTCTGCAAAGTGGACCGAGGGCGCCGTCGCTTTGTGCTCCTTAGCTCCAGAGGCGGAGCCCGAGCCCGCAGAAGGCTGCCCAGAAGACTCTGGAGCTTGCTTTGCACAGCCAGAGGCCTGAAACTCAGCGGAAAAGCTCCAGGTGGTCCCAGCGTTCTCGCGCTTACTAACTGGGACCAAGCACCTATGCCGGAGCCAGCGCTAGGCACTCTTTACCCTTTGCCTGGCCGCCGTAACAGACGCACGGGCTACGTAGCATGGCGGGGTTGAGGTAAACCCACAGCCTTGCAAAGTGTCAAAAGGGAGCAAAACCGGCATTCTTGCCCTTTCTAGCCAGAATTCGCCCCCCCCTCCCAGCCCAGAAGAGCTAGTAGTGACGGGTTTTGGCTTACCCTAAACCAGACGAAGAGGCTTTTGGCAGCAGCCTTCTTCGGGTCCCGATATGGACCACATTTTTGGGTTTCGGCTTACCCTAAACCATACAGTTGCGACTGCACTGCAGTCTGGGGTTTAAGCTGACCCTCAACCATGTGTGTGAAGCCCACGGAAAACCTCTCCGATTTTTTGCCTCCGAACCCTTTCAACACTTCTAGCCGAGCCTAAGAGGACACAGGGTGAGGCTAGAGGCCGGAGGTGGCAGTCAACAGGGAGTGGCGGACACTCTCCTGAGCCACAGTTGGAGGGGGAGCTAGTCCCTCTCTCCCGTAAGCATTGCCCGCAGGGACCGGCCCTTCACGGAGCTCTGCAAAGTGGACCGAGGGCGCCGTCGCTTTGTGCTCCTTAGCTCCAGAGGCGGAGCCCGAGCCCGCAGAAGGCTGCCCAGAAGACTCTGGAGCTTGCTTTGCACAGCCAGAGGCCTGAAACTCAGCGGAAAAGCTCCAGGTGGTCCCAGCGTTCTCGCGCTTACTAACTGGGACCAAGCACCTATGCCGGAGCCAGCGCTAGGCACTCTTTACCCTTTGCCTGGCCGCCGTAACAGACGCACGGGCTACGTTACAAGGCGGGGTTGAGGCAAACCCGCAGCCTTGCATAGTGTCAAAAGGGGAGCAAAACCGGCGTTCTCGCCCTTACTAACCAGAATTCGCCCCCCCTCCCAGCCCAGTAAAGCTAGTAGTGACGGGTTTTGGCTTACCCTAAACCAGACGAAGAGGCTTTTGGCAGCAGCCTTCTTCGGGTCCCGATAGGGCCCACATTTTTTGGGTTTCGGCTTACCCTAAACCATACAGTTGCGACTGCACTGCAGTCTGGGGTTTAGGCTGACCCTCAACCATGTGTGTGCTGCCATGCCTAAGCCGGCAGCTGCATGCGATAGCAAGGAAGGTGGTCCAGATGCACTTGAGCTGGCATCAGACTCAACATCGCGGTTATGCCATCGGGGAGTGGTGGTGGTCGCCGCGCATGGACCACAGTTTGGGGGGGAAAGCGTCCCTCACTCCAGTTACCGCCTAAGAGCACCCTGCGCTGAAAACGCCACTCGTTGGCTGTCTGCAGAGAGTGGTGGCGGTCGACTCAACGAGCCATTGCTATGAGGTGGAGCGCACTCCTGCTTCCTCTTGGCTGATGACCGCCTTGTTTGGCGGGTTTGTATGTTGCTGTTGGAGGGTGCAGGGAAGACTGCATCTTCGCACTGCTTCGCTGCACGCTCATTGCTTGGATTTGCGCCGATTGGTCCTAAGTTAGGCAGGGTAGGTGTGGGGACCACAACCCACTCAAGCCAAGCTCCGGAAACGAAACACAACCGTCTGCAAACCAGACTCGCAAAAAGAGCCAAGCCAAGCAAAGCCTAGGAGCAAAGTCTTACCAAACCTCGTAGACAACCTGAGTCGCTGGCTCTCGGTCTTGTTCGGGCTCTCAGAGAGAGAACCCAAGCGTGAACCTAAGAGCGCGGCGCTCCCTTCCTGCCAGGAGACAGGGTTTACAGGGAGAAGACAAGGTGAGGAGCTCACCTGCCTGCTAGGAAACTAGCAGCAAGCAGGGACAACCCTGCAGTGAAGGGAGTGGCAGTGGCCAACTCACCTGTCGGCCAGAGCAGTCTTGCACTCAGCTGTTTCCCTGACAGCTGGCAGGGGCAGTTGAGCTGAAAGAGCTGTGTCGCTTATCCTGCTAAACGGTCTTAAACCCTTGCTGGAGGGAGCTCCAAGCAGGCCAGACGGGTAGCGACCCTGTCCAGCTGCGAGGAGTGGAGCCCCACGTCCAAGCAGGAGACAAGCAGTCGGGGGAACCTTTTATGGGATGCTACTTGCGCAGGAGTTTAAGCTGGGATTGAAACTGTTTGGGCCTCTTTCAAGGCAGTGCGGACCAGGGGCTAGTTTCTCCACAGCACGCGTCCTACCTGCAGCACCCACCTGCGCCGAGCCTAAGCTCTGGTGCAGTGTTTTCTCGCCAGAGCAGTCTTGCACTCAGTTGCTTCGCTGACAGCTGGCAGGGCCAGTTGAGCTGCAAGAGCTGTGTCGCTTATCTTGAGCTGCGAGGAGGGGAGGCCCACGTCCAAGCAGGAGACAAGCAGACGGGGGAAGCCCTGTCTGGTGTGCAATTTGCGCAGGAGAGAACTGGGAACGAAGTCGCTTGGGCCCTCACGAAAGCAGTTAGGACCAGGGACTAGTTCGTCCACAGCACGCTTCCTGCCTGCAGCACCCACCTGCGCCGAGTCCTCGCTCTGGTGCAGTGTGCACTCGGCTAAAGCAGTCCTGCACTCAGTTGCGTTCCTTACCAGCAGGCTGGAGCCAGTTGAGCTGCAAGAACTGTGTCGCTTATCTTGAGCTGCGAGGAGGGGAGGCCCACTTCCAAGCAGGAGACAAGCAGACGGGAGAAGCCCTGTCTGGGGCGCAATTTGCACAGGAGCTAAAGCTGGGATTGAGCCTGTTTGGCCTCTTGCGAAAGCAGTTAGGACCAGGGACTGGTTACTACACAGCAAGCTACCTACCTGCAGCACCCACCTGTAAACCAGGGCTTGAGCCGAGACCTTGAGCCAAATGGGATTTTCATTCCGGTGGCGCGAGAAGTCCACGGCCAGAGGCCTGTCCGAAGAAACCCTGAAGCATGCATTAATTAAAACTGGCTGTAGCAAAGCCAGGGCTAAGCGAGTACGCCTTGAAGGCTCCAGTACAACCAGTAGCCTCAAAGCCCTATTCAAAATCGGAAGACTGTACAGGAAGGTGTCTGGCTCAAGTAACCTCAGGCCCCATTGGGCGAGGTAGCGGTTGAGCGACCTTCATAACTAACTCACTTAGCTCAGTTGGCGGCCAAGAAGAAAGGAGACCGTGCAGCTGCAAACCAAAGTAGCTGCAAAACAGGTGTGTCAAGCAGGTTTACACTGTTGCAGTGCAAACAGAGGGATGGGCAGCAGGGTACACACCTGCACACACTGCACACTCTTGCACGGAAGGCCCCCCCCCCCTGTTGACTACACGTACCCTGTACTGGCCCTGCACAAGCTTCAAGAGTACGAGCCTCAGCCCAGCTGGCGAGGCGTGGTCAGAAAACGGGGCTCCTGGGCACCGCAAGCCTCAGCCCAGCTGGCGAGGCGTGGTCCTGTACGAAACAGCGAAGCGGCAAAAGCTTTCGTGTTCCTGCTGTCAGATCTCCTGCTCCTTAAAGACACACCTGAAGAGATTGATCACCTGCCAACTAGCTCTCAAAGCAAAGGCTCAAAGCAAAGGCTGGACACTCGGGCTGACCGGACCGAGGATCCTGCAGAAAACGGGGCTCCTGGGCACCGCAAGCCTGCCAGAGCACGGAGAAGCGGAAGCAGGCAGGCTACGAAGCAAAGGCGATGCTGAAGTACAGTGCTTGAAAACCATTTTGCAGAGCAACAAGGCTGTCACGGCCTGCTGCGGGACCTTTGGTCCAGGTCAGTGCCCAGGCTGAGCTGCACCCTTCCACAGCCTCGGGCCCTCAGCCCTAAGGCGAGGGCCCAGGAGGCAGTGAAAAGCAAAAGTTCAGGCGGCCTTCCACTCGACGGCCAGGGCAGCTTGACTCACCTAGTAGGCTAGTCACCAAGGAAAACTCCCTGCTGTAGCAGGCACCACTTGTAGTGCTGCGTAAGGAGTGGTCGTAGCCGTTGCAGCACCTCCTCAGGCGAGGCGTTGCTGACAAGCTGGAGTAGCTCCTGAAAGTGGTCTGGAACACTCCTCTTGACCGCGCTCCAGAAAGCCGAGGCACGCTGTCTGTTCGGCCAGTGTGCCCTTTGACCCTCCCATGGAAGCCAGTCTGCGGTGTCCCACATCATAATGAAGCCACGGGCATCAACACCAAAGTTGAAAAAGCCAAGATCCTTGAGATTGTAGAAACGGGAGGCCTCCGCAGTCAGTGCCATCATGTAGCGGACCATATCAAGGTCCGGCGGAGCTGGCCTCCACACCGACAGTGGAGTGAGCCTAGACTGCCTCAAAACATGCGTGGAGATGATATCATAGCAGCTCTTCCAAGAAAGCGTGAGCAGGTGAAAACCCGCATCCAAAGTGCACGGCACTATATGAGGGAGCAGTCTCCAAGCTTCCGGTTCTGGCCCGTGACCTTGTGGAGGCGCCAACTTCAGAACGTGTTCCGAGGAGCCAGGGTCAACGTAAACTGTCCGGGACTTTCCGAACCCCAGCCGTCTCGCTCGAGCAGCTTTTGTTCGCCCACCAGTGACAAAGTCATGGTAAACTTCAAGGCTTTCCGGAAGGCACTGGTAGTGGTTCACCGGATGCTTCACCTGGGGCGCAGCTGCACATAAGAAAGTGATTAGGCCATCCTCATGAAGAAGAGGGCCAAAGTCACTTGGGCGATCTTTCAGCGCGACTGCAGGCTGTGGTGTCTCACTGCTGTCAGATTGAAGACAGTTGCTGGAGTCGTCCTGGTCCACCGGTGGCTCTTCAGCTTCTGGAAGTCGTTGCAAAGGTAAGCCTTGGCTGCTGGATGCAGCAGCAGTAGGGGGTGGAGCCCTCAGCCCTAAAGGCGAGGGCTCCTCCCGTGCTGGGCCCTGGCTGCTGGAAGCAGCCGCAGTGGAGGGAGCCCTCAGCCCTGAAGGCGAGGGCTCCTCCAAGTCGTACGGCAGCTCTTCAGCTTCACGATGTCTCGCCTCCGCACGAGGTCCTGGTGGAGGTGGTGGGGGCGGCCAAGCCTCCTCAGTTCTCCTGCCAGCGTGCTCATATTGTTCGCGGCGCTTCTTCTGTTTGCGGGCTTTCTTACGTCCCCGCTGTCGGTCAATCGTCGCCGCTGATTTCCATGATAGTCCCCGCTCCTCACGGCGGAGTTGCGTGGATATGTGCCGCCCTTCTTGCTTGGGCGCCATGCTTAGCAGGCCTTGGGCCTAAAAACGAAGGGTGCGCTGTGTTGGGTCAGCCTTCGGTTTTGTTTTGGGTTTGGGTCTAGCTGGGGCCTTGGGCTTCACTGGCAGAACAGCTGCTGGCATGCCTAACTGAGATCGCAAACCTACAGAAACGGACTGACCAACTGCTCCTTGCACTCCTGTGGACTGAGTGACCTCGCCTTGGCACTCCGGCAACCTTGGGGCAGCCGCTGCAGAGGAGGCGACGGGCCCAGCTGGAGGGTTGACCTGGGCAGCGCTCAAAAGGCCAAGCTTAGGAACTGCAGAAACACGCTCTGGCATAGGGCCGGCACCGAAGGTGCTGGCAGATTGAAAAGCACTGGCAATGGATCGGGTGGAGACTCCACCAACCTGTGCCAAGGCGCAAGCCTTGGTGCCACTGTTTACTTTACGCCCTAAGCCTTTACATGCAGACTGAAGAAGGGACGAGGGCGAGACCGCGCCAAGTTTTATGCAGGCCAAACACTTGGCACACAAAAAGTGAGATCCTCGATTATGCATGTCATGGCTGGGGTGTATTTTCCAACTGGGCGGCACAGCTGCAGCAACACCACGGCGCGGGTGTGTAATTTTGCGATTGAAAACATCAAGCGAATGACATTGTTCAATATATAAATTGCATTTTTCGCAATAAACCGAGAAGTTGTTGGCGGCCTTAGTCTCGCGGGCTTTCCAATCATGACCAAGTGCTGGATCAGGGGAGTCCAGCAACTGCTTCAGGCGCTGTTTTTTGTTAGGTAAAGAACTGTTCTGGGTGGTCGAAACAGTTGTCGCCCTTGCCTTAGATTTCTCAAACTGGCTCTGGGAGTCTCTGGCGGCTCTGGGAACAAAACCTTGCGTCTTGTCCTTAATCAGTTTCTCAGCCCTAGAGGCGAGAAACTGGTTTAGCTCGCGCGCAACCCGGTCCAACTCCTTCACCTTGCGCACAAAGTGAGGCGAAACGGCCTCTGCAGCCCTACGACCCGCCAGGGAGTCAGCCTTTTCGTTGAGTACTCGTCGCCACTGCTGAGAAGGGAACTCCTTCTGACCACGCGCCGAGCCCACAGGGGCAGGAAAAGCAATGGTTGGGTTTGAGCCTGTTACGGAGCCAAAGCACTAGCTACGGACTCGAGGCTGGGCGGCCACGACGGCACTGCAGGTTTGAGCACTCACAGCCTTGAGCCAAAAATGGGATTTTCTTTCCGAGCACTCGAAGAAGTAGCGCGGCTCCTAGGCCAAGACTGTACAAGCTAAGCAGCTACCAGTAGAGCTACGGATCTGACAGCCTAGCTACGGAAGCAAAACTTCATAGCCCTGAGGCCGTGAAGTCTTGCTGTTGCACGCAAGCCAGCCAGGCTGGACCACGGAGCTGAGGCAGTGGTGGGAGTGACGTATTCAACGGTTCATGCACACAAGCCACCACACGTGCCCCTCAAAACACAGTGGGCCCTCACAGTTGGGCCTCAGTTGAAGGTGAGTTTCGTCGTCAAGCGAAAGCAGCATAGCCTGGGAGACTACCACAGCAGCCTTTGTACACTTTATACAGCTATAGCCTACCGCCTACCGCCAACTGTACACAGCGCAGCGGGTGGTCGCATGAGCACGCCAAGTGCCCACACCACCGACCTGCCTTGTCCATGAAATGAAGTCTGCGTGTCTTAAGACGTCTGGTGAGTAGGCATAGCGTCACAAGCATCTTCAAGGCTGAAGGACGAAGGCTCACCAATTTAGTTTGCACTCTTGGCCGCACTGAACGGACCACCATGCGAGGACTGTAGCGCTAATGCAGCCTCGTAGGGCGCAGAAGCAGCACACCAGCCCTGCACGGCTTTCAAGAGAAAGTCAGTTGTGCTTGTTTTGGTTTGGCTTTGGGTTTGCAAGCATTTTTTGGCGTCACAACCACAGCCGGTTGCCCAAAGCTTAAAGTGGCCTGCTTTGGTCCCTCAGGAGTTACAGCAGCGTCACGCTTGGACCCAAAAGGAGTAGCAGCTTTCGTTTTCGGCACCGCAGGGCCCGACTGATCCAAAGTTGAGCTGCCCACTCCTTGAGCCACTTTACCGATTTGGCTTACAGCCGCTCTCCCATCACAAGGTTTCTGCAACTGCTTCGCTCCAACGGCCGACTGTGGGCGCTGCAGCCTCCCACATTTGGAACAAGACCACTGCACACCCATGTTGACCATACTGTGTGTTGCATGAATGCCCCACTCGCTCAAAATCTCACCACCACCAATGCAGTGGTGTGTCATGAGACGGTCGAAGCTTGCCGGGTCAGCTATTTGCTGAACGTACAGTCCACATTTGGTGCATTTCATTGTCAAGTTGGTAGGTCCTTCAGCGCCTTTGACCCACTGGTGACCCAGAGGATCTTCAGGCATTGCCAACTTTTCTAACATGCGTTGTTTTTTGTTCAAGGGCTTACCATTTTTTGGGCCAGGACCAGGTTTATCACCAGAAACTCCCTTCTTGGACTTCGGATTTTTTGCATTTTTGGGTTTGGCATGACTGGGCTTAACAAAGGCGGCGTTAGGGACAACCAGGGGCTTAGGGGCAGTATCAGTAGCACCCCTATTCAAAATCCACGGGAAATCCGGGCTCTTTCTCTGCCGAATGATGAATCCAGCACGTCGCGCTAAGGAGTAGCAGACTTGTTCCACCACGGAATCACATTTCTTCAGCCACTTCGCATGCGCGATCGAGAAATGCTGAGAAGCCCTTTCCCCGCAGAGTTTGTCGACGTCCTCGTTGATGAGGCGCCTCCACTGCTCCCAGCCCTGCTTTTCAAAGTAAGCTGCACTTTTATGTGAAGAAACCCAATGCAAGCGGATGCGACTGCGCTCGTGCCATATCGTGCCCCATGGCACAACACCTTCCTGCGGTGGGTTGGCCTTGCCCAAGATTTGCTTGACACTTTTGCAATCAGTTGTGGCATCAAAGTCGCCAGTGACACGATGCATCAACTCAAAAAGAGCTCGCTGTTCGGCCTGAGGCACTGTCAGGGGCTCCGCCTCCAAGCACGTGGCACTCGCAACCCTCTTTGGTTGTCCATCAACCAAGGCATAGGCTCCTATGGACCAAGTCGTCACGAGGAGCCTTTGATCCGAGCCGCCTGGTCCTCCAGAAGCATCACAAGCAAAAACATATCGACTGCCTTCCAAAGTACTCTGGGTCGACCATAGTCCCGTGACTTGCAAGCCGCATTGCTCAATCGCAGGTTTGGGATGCCGCACTTCACTAAGGGGAGTCAGGCCTCTCAACCACAATGAAGGCCAAGGGTACTGGGATTTCATTTCGGAAAACTCCTTGGCATCAAACTGCTTGCAAATGAACGGACATTCCCAAAGATTATGTTGCAAAGAAAGCGGACACTGGCACAGCTTGCACCAACCTGGTTTGGCTGAGGAAACCATCGCTCCTTGCCATACCGCATGCAAATTGCTAAGGGTAGCTCTCTGCACGTGTTTGCGCTTCAACAACTTGCGGTGGACAGTGAAGTCAGTGCCCTGATCGAGCGAACCACAACCCTCTTGCTGGGCAATGCGAAGCCCTTGCTGGTGTAGCAGTAATTTATGCACCCACTCCCAGCCGCTGCGGATGACATCAGAATTGGCCCAGTCGAGTTGAAGGTTACCTTTGGCATGCCGCCACAGATGCACCTGTGAGCATTCCACTCCCAACTCAATCAAATACGCTTGGGTGGCAGCAATTGGTCCGGTGACTCTCTTCCAAGGGTCTTTTGCTTTGGACAAGTGATTCCATATGCTTTTCCAAGTGCTGGCGAATTTTTGCCCATCCTCACGATGCCACTTTTTAAAGACACGGAAAACAGCCCTAATATGCTGCCGCATGATGGTGAAAGTTGGGTCTTCGCATTTGGCATGATTCAAGGCAAAAGTCAGATCAACCGATCCTAGTTTTTGTCGACCAGCATGTTTGCTGCAAATGGCGCGGTAGTACTTGCGCCTCTTGGGGCTCACCCCAAGGGCCTGGTGTCCCCAGAGGCCCGCTGACATGATTGACGCTTTGACCACCCTAATCTTATGAGACACAAAGGGCACCCTGAGACTACAAAGTTTTTTATTACGGGCTTGTGCCTTGGCCTGTCTGGTTGCCGCTAAGCCTAACAGCCGTCTTCTAGTGCCCCCGGAAGTGACCCCTAGGTCGCGGGCGAAATTTTTAATGGCCGGATCATCCGATTGGCATATTGCCTTCAAGGCCTTGCAAGCCTCAGACGACGTGGCAACGAAGGAAGTTTTGCTGATGGCAACTTGTGCGCCCCTGGACTCCAGGGAACTGCGAAGACCTCGAAACAAGCGCAAAGCAATGCTAGCAGTTTGCTTGGGAGCTGCGGTAACCGTATCAAGACTAAGATCATCTATCCAAACATCCAAGTTGGACGTTCCTGGTTTGACACTAAGCTCAGCCGCAACATCATGCATGATGAGTTTCGCTATCGAGGGTGCCGCAGGGCATCCTGGCAGGAGTCCGGTATTGGCCTTGATGACCGGTGCGACCGTGCCTTCGGCCTGTAGATATCTGGCTCCACTGTAAACCAGATAGGCCTGGTGTAATATGATGGGCGGGTAGCCCAACTTGAGTCCCGTTCGGAACATTTCATCGAACCGGCAACGATCGAAGAAGGTCTCTAAATCTAAAAAGAGCGTTACCATGTGTAACCGGCTATGCCGAGTACACTCCCCCCGGACCAGTCTCCCCAATGCGACGTCAAGTACGGCTCCTCCCGGCAGGGAGCGGTCCCAGTGGCATTGATTAGCATACTCCTGCTGCCACTGGTTTATCAAGGAGAAACGGAGGCGCACATATGAGCGGTAAAGCACATGGAGCAAGGCTATTGGCCTCTCGCGGAGTGTGTTTTTGGGCAGGCATGCTATCAAGGAAATGGCAAACTGTGCTGGCCACTCTGCACTAGCCTCGCAAGCGTGCATGAAGTCAATAACAGCCCGGACTGCCTCTTCGCTCAAGTTGTTTAGCATCTGTGCTGTCCAGCCGTCGGCCCCAGGAGCCTTCGCTGGAAACTTTTTGAAAAGTTTTACAGCCTTCTCAAAATTTATGGGCGGCAAATGCTTGGCTTGATCGATGGCTCTGGCTTTGACCTCTGCCAACAAATGCGGGTCCGTAGTGACCGGCTGGCACCAAATGTCGTGCCACTGCTTCCATCTTTGGTACACTCTATCTTGCAATGAAAGATTTCGAAAGGGTCTATCACAAGGGGATTCCGTACTTTTGAGGCATTTGTACAAAGGCTTCATACCTTTTACCAAGGCAGCACTCAGCCACTTGGTGTATTGTTTAGTGTTAGCCTGCTTAAAAGCCTCGGTGTGATGCCTGTGTTGCGCGGTGGCTACAGGTTCCAATGCAAGGAGAGCCGCAGGGTCGCAATGTTGACTGGCAATTGCAAGCGCGCTGGCAAAATCCTGTAATGAGGTCGCATCACCATACCATACATCTTTGAGCTGGTCCCCTGCTTGCTGCCCGAAACCACTCACATGCCAACCCGAGTTGCGCACAGTTTTGATCCAACCTAAGAATCTGCACCAGAAAGCCGAAGCCTTACCTCCTCAACCAGCGTTGGGAGCGCCCTGCACAGGCAATGGCGCGCGATGCAAAAGAATGTTGGCTCCTCTTCCCTGAGCCTGGCCATAAACGGACATTTCAACAGCACAGCTTAAAGCCGCAAAATCAAGTGTCAATTCGTCGGTAACCTGCTCATCTAAGATGGTGACCTCTGGCCTGTCGGTGCTTAGCTGAAAAGGCTGCGAATCGAGCTGCGCAGGCTTGAAACTCTTGAGTTGCGGCATTTTTTGATGCAACAGGGCAACATCAAGCTGCCAATGCAAAGCTGCATGCGGCCTTGACGGGGTGTTCCAGTCCAGCTGCACCGCTACACAAGTGGCCAGGCTATTCGAAATTAAACCAAAATCAATTTGGCCTCCGCCAGAACAGGTGGACGTGCCTGGTCCGACCCACACCGCACGCGCCTCCTCCCCAATATGGGTGGAACTTAGGGTTTCAAAGTCCTCATTAAAGTCACCCAAAATCGCAAAGGCACCTCTGACGGATCGAACAAAGGAAAGAAGCGATGCAATGATGCCGGCATTGGTGCTGCTCTGGAATCCCTCGCCTGATTTCAAGTACACGTTGACAACGTAAAGATCAAAGCCTTTTACCCTGAACATGGCGGCTTGGTAACCATTACCTTCAACGAGGTGGCTCGTGACTTGTGACACATCGAGGTGTCTCCGGTGCAAGATTGCCAATCCCCCGGTGTTGCCCCCTTTGCCCGTGGCCACAGCCGGGCACTGAAAGACCTCATACCCGAACATCCCAGCATGGGCAGCAAGAAGGCTGACATCTTTAGCATCAAGGTGGGTCTCTTGAAGGAGGGCGAGGTCCGGGCTTAAATTCGCAATCCAACTAGCCAGCTCTTTACGCCATTTGGTGACATTAAGACATGTGATGCGAACCGGTTGCCTGCTGGGGCGGCACTTCAAGTTTGCCAAAACGTCCTCCACGGCCCATTTTGCCGCTGGGCCACATTCTCCATGAAGTGAATCCATGACCAGTTCGGCGGCGTTCCATTCGAAAGTTTGCTGTTGCAGCAAGCCTGTGTCTTCCAACCGGGAGATCGCCTCTAAAACGGCCGGCTCATCAGCATTTGCAAGGCCAATTTTGACGTCATTCCAAAGTGAATGTTTGCTGGAGCTTTTGAAGGTCGTGGTGCTAATGGCATCACGCGAGTCGCCACAGTTTGCACGCTCCCGAGTGCAGCCACCGGGGCGCACATCGGGTTGCATCTCATGTTTCTCCGGCCCTTCGGGCTGCACCTTGCAAAATTCCCGCGACTGCTGAGTGTCGCGTGCCGGGCTGGGATCCAACAAGTTTTGCGATCTATCATCATCCGGACCCTGGCCCAGCGGGTCGCGACTAGCAGTGTCCGGGAGGCGCTCCTCGGACATCAAACAAGGGTGCTGGGGATGCCCCAAAAAGTGATTTATGACTGTAGACCCTGCCACACAGAGGGCAGGAAGAATGGGTTCGGGAGGGTCTACAGTAAGGCCAAAATGGCCATTTGAGGAGGAATGCAAAGCAGATTGGCAGGTCGCCCGAATGCTGCCAACAGGGCGCACATCGGGGTTTAGACGGAGCCTTCGGTTGTGCCGGCGCCGGGTCCGGCGCGAAGCTGGAATTTTGCCCTGCAATATATTACAGGAAACAGCCCCAACATGTGTTTGCAGAACCTGTGCATGTAGCGGCACACTGGTGACATCAGTAAGTTCATCAGGCTCCGGGGCCTCAGCGCAATCAAAAAAGTATGAAGGACCCGACAATGCTACCAGATCCTTGGGCTGCTTGCACGTTGTTTGGACCTTGGCCTCCCACTTGCATAAGCACCTCGGGCAGTAGTTCAAGACATCAGACAGAGCAGTGAGGATTTCGTCACAAGGCGCATTCAAGTGTACGTGGCAGCATGCCTGCACAAAATTTTTAACCTCCTGGTTCGAACTACACCCTACGACCGGTGATTGGCCACATCCAATGCACCAACCATCCGCCTCAAGACCTCTGAGTTGCTCCTGCAGGGCCTCGCTGGTCAAATTGGGGTTAGGGACCTCAGCAGGAGGGGATGCGCACGGGTTCGGGAGGGAATTGAGCCCGCACTTGGGCTTGCAAACATGCCACACAGGCTCCGAAGATGCAGTGATCCAACTGTTCATTGACACACACCGATCTCGGATAGAGCTGGCCGGAAGTTGATAATCAACGGTCCGGCGCACTGGTGGGTTAGGGCCCTCAGCAAGAGGGAGGGGTCAGGGCTGGGGATAAATTCAAGACAGCCATCATTGCTTGGCATCACACTCGGTCCCCCAGGACCCCGGGCCAGCGGCCCCCCCACCTCCTGATGAAGACTCCCCCTCCTGGTAAAGACCTCCACCGCCATGGGGGTCCTGGGGGCTCCCTGTAGACCCAGGGGCTGTATTGGAGAAAATTGCTCAAGTTGGCCATCAGCTGATAAAGACTCCGGCACACTCCCAGCCGAACAGAAATTGGGGTTAGGGCCCTCAGGTGGAGGGGAAGCACGCGGGTTCGGGCAAGGAAATGAAACCTCACTCGTGGTTGTCTCCTCCTCGAGGCCACGGGTGATTGAGGGAATCTCACACCCCTTCGAGGAGCTGAGGTCCCAGCCCTCATCCAAGGCAATCCCCATGTTCGGGTCAAAACTCGCATCCAACCTGCTGCCCAAATCGACCTCACACAGGCCTGGCAACTGCAAATTGGGGTTCGGGCCCTCAGCTCTGGGAAAAGCGCACAGGTTAGGGCTCGGAATTAAAACCATGTCAAACTCTTTGCTCAAGCACTGCCAAAAGGGTCCCGAGTCTGCCGTTAAACAAGCATTGCTCGAAACCAGCCTGACGCGGCACCCACTTGCCTGCACTCGGTATTCTAACACCCTGTGCACAGGTTGACCTGAAAGCACATAAGGATCAAGAATGGCACGTTTTTTCAGCCTACAGGTGGTGCCACCTCGCGGGAAACAATGCTGGCACAAAGGTGGCAAGGAAAGCTCAGTCAAGGAAGATTGTCTCGTTAGGGGCACGTGGCAGCATGCACAACACACATCCTGACATGCAAACTGCAACGCCCCTTCTAACGCTCCCAATCCCATCTCCGAAACCCCAACAAACCACCCCTGCACCACAGAGGGCTCTGGCTGGCCTGCGCACCCAAGACTGCGCTCGGCCGGTGTCCATACGCCACTGCGCACGCGGCCTGACGCCCGGAGGCACAATGCACACACCGACCCACAACTAGCATCAAACTGGAACTCCTGGAACTTTGGACAAGGCTGCTCTCGGCACAGCGTGACAGCACAGATGGGGCAACACTCTGCTTGGCTGAACATAAGCACTGGGCAGAGCTGAGGTGGCCGCACAACGGACTGATCCGACTGCAAGGTGCAAGCAACCAAAAGCTTTTCCAGAGGCTGGGATTCAAGAGCCTCGCCTCGACCTGATTCCTGAGCTGGCTCCACGCTGCATCCACCAACAAGGCAAGTACGGCTATGACCGAAAAGCGAAGAAACAACCCGAGAAACGCCGAAGTCAAGAACCCTAATCCCCGACCCCTAACCCTGCTGCGCACTGCGGCCCCTGCTGCGGGACCTGGTTTTGCCCTTCTCCCTGTCATCCTCCTTAGCGGCCTCCTGCTGGCTTGGCCCAGCTGGAGGAGGGCTTGTCGGCGCTGCCTTCTGCGCCGGTGCATCCACGCGCCTGCGCTTTACAGCTTCATCAATGGCTTCAACAAGGCGCTGCCGGTAGTCGTCAAGCTGATCAACATCCATGGCCTCAACCTGCTTGGCAAGAGCCTCTGCTGCCTCAGGCAAAGCCTCAGGGGCCGGGACCCCAGCAACCGAGGATTGCAATTCCCCTTGCAAGGTAGCCACCAGCTTTTGTCGCTCCTCCAAGGATTCATTGATGGACTTCATGTCTGACAACATGGTGGAGTACAGCTCTTTATGCTTATCAAGACGCACTTGCAAGGCAGCTTTGCGGAAAATAAGGTCTCTCAATTCTGCAGTGGCAATTTTAAATTTTTTGCTTGTTTCGCTCATGACCTCCTGAGGCGTGGGTGGCCGCTCAGGAGGGTCTTCCAGCAGCTTCTGGATGTCAGCTGGCAAGGCACGGATGTGTTGCTTACACAATGAAGCAAGGTCCGGAGGCTGCACCTCGGGCTCTTGGATGCCAAGCTTACATAGAAGCTCACGCTGCTCTTCGCTCACCGAGGCAAACAGGGACCGAGCAGCCTCAGCCTGAGCAGCCTCATCCCGGACTTCCGCTGTTCCAACTGCACCCTTGCCTTTGCCTGCACCTCCTTTGGTTTGCCTGAATAGGCCTGGCGGGGGCTGAGGGATCTTAGGTCTCCACCCCGCCTCCTCAATCTGCTGGCGCGCGTGCTCAGGCAAGGATTCCCAGATGGTTGTCAATGCCCTCTGCGCTTGGTTCTGGCGCGGGGGTCTCGGCGTCTTGGACTCGGGCTGCTGTGCAGCAGCGGGAGACCTCCACACTCTCACAGACGGACCCCATTGCGGATCCTGCGTCGTTCCCTGCTTTGGTCCTTTCTGTGGCCAGCGTTTGCCACAATGCTGGCAACATGGCCTGTGAGGGCCAATCCGATCCGTCCACACCCACGATCCGCAGCCACAGACGGTGTAATGCCTGGACATCTTGACTGGCATCACTTCCCTGTGTGGGCCTGCGCGCTCTGCGATGGCCTCCTTTCAAGAAGCCTGCAAGAAAAACTCCTCAACTGTACTTTTGCAACAAGTAAACGGGCAATTTTGCAAGGCCCAAATCCAAGAAAATTCTGCACAAGAAAACAAGGGTTGGTTCACAAGCTGCAAGAAGAGTTTGCAAGCAGTTTCAAGTGTTGCGGCTCTATGGCGCTACTCTAATGCACTTCAGGGCTCTCCCTGGAACTGCCGCTACCCCTGCGCGCCCGTGCGGGTCAGCCCGCCTACGAGGAAACACAGAGATTGGTTTTGAGGTCTCTTGAGGGCCCACCCTTAGTTACGGCCTCAGAAACCCAGCCACGACGGCAACAAGCGTCCACTCGCCAGTTTGAACCACAACAGCTTGAGCCAAAATGGGATTTTCACGGTCTTGCGCACTGAGTCGCGGCCGCCGGAGCGGCAGTTCGGTCTGGGCTGTACTCTGACAGCAAAAAGGAGGAGGGCAGCCTTGTTTAAGGCGTCCTCCGCTAGGCCTACTCCTACCCCCCGTTCCTCCCAATCTCCGTTGGGAGGTTACCGGAGGATCTACTTCGGACCTAGTCTAGCCCTCCTCCCAGGCTTTTGCTGGTGAGGTTGAAGCAGCCTCAGGATTTGCCTCCCGGTACCGGTGAGGAAAGGAAGCCGGCCATGGCCTCAGCTGTTCACCGCCTTGTGCCCCCTGCCTAGGCGGGCTCTGCCGGCTTTTGACCACCTCCCTCACCCCCCAGGACTTCGGGTCTTTGAGGCTGAGGAGTTCCTATTCCTGGGACTTTGCTAGAGACCTGAGGGCTTCAGCTTGCCTCAAGTGGCTCCAAGTTCCCAGGTGGGCGGCCATTGCCACAGGGTCCCTGTTGTAGAACCCGCACAAGAAGCAGTGGTAGTTATACGCATGCCCAATCTCCCGCCGTTGTGGCGGTGGGCTTGTGCCGTCGACACATTCCGGCCTAGCCGGGGGCGTGCGGCTCCGCCCTGTGCCACTTTCACTCCCTTGGTTAGGCGAGGACTGGGCTGGCAGATGTGGCTCCCTGTTGGCCTCCCGGCCTTCCCCCCGGTCTTGCGGTGGGTCAGGCTCGCTCTCGCTGCCCTGGCCCTTGCCCTCCCCCCGTTGAGGCGGTGGGTCCGGCTCTCTGTCTCGTTCCCCCCGGTTGCGTGGTGGGTCGGGCTCTCGGTCTAAGTCCCCCCGTAGGTGCGGTGGGTCGGGCTCTCTGTCCCTGTACCCCCGGTGGTGCGTGCTCACGGCCCCACTCCCCCCGATATCGCGGTGGGCCAGGCTCTCTGGCTTTGCCCTGGCTTTTGGCGGGCTCACCCTTGCCTTTGGCCTTGCCGCCAGGGTTCCAGAGGCCTAAGGCCTTCAGCCTGTCCCGGTCTTTCTTGGACGGCCGCCGGACATGGCCATCAGGCGGCGGATCCCTTTTACCTTTACCTGGGGCTCCCATTTGGACCTGTGGCCGCGCTAGGAAAAAGGCTTTGCGAAAAACTGCTTCACAGAAGGGGTTCCAGCAGCTGCAAGTGTGTCACGTGCCGCACGCTTACGCTGCAAACCATGCTTACCATGTGCACAAAAACGTTCAAGAACTGCAGGTGTGAGGCCTCCAACAGGCTGCACACCATGGCACTGAGAGCACTTCCACCTGCAACCTTCATTGCACATGGCATGCGAATCATGCCACTTCCACTCCGAAGATGGAA